ACTGTTGTGTTGTACTCGAGTCCATCCAAACCGGCGAATCGCGACACGAGAAACACTGAGACAATTGGTTGTGCAGAAAGTTATTGGCGTTTAAGCTCTTGAGCGTATGGATGGCCCCTCTCTTCCAGTAGACACTTCCGTGTTGTTGACCCGAACCAGATATGGACACAACTGTACTGTAATCGATACCATCAATCTTCAGCCTCTCTAACACCAGATCCAATGCCTTAACCCACATGACGGGTGGGGCCGTCGCCGTGTGTTGGTCTGGGTTTTGATTCACTCCCCCATGAGTTCTGGCATTTGTTTAAAAACTTTTTATTCATTTATTATAATCTCTGGAAAAGTGTATGTGTTTTGAATGATAAGGAAATGCAAACTAAATGTATTTCTTTGACTCAATTAAGTGGTCATTCATTAAACATATTAACAAATTAAATGAGTTTATAATTAGGAAATGAAAGTCTAATACAAGACATAAGGAGTGAATGAATGGATGAATACCTGAATTCAGGCAAATCGGTGTCGAAATGAACGCAAGACTCGTGTATAACATGCAAACTCTCGTTCACTGCCAATGCCTTCAGCTGTCGATCATATGATCACAAATTAAATACAAATTCATTATTAATTGTGGTTTAAATTTAGTCATTTAATTACCTGTTGAGTACTGAAATCAAATCCCAGGTAAGTCTTGTTATCACTCATTATTGTTATAACAAAATTAAAAGTTTCAAAATAAAGTGTTTAATAAAAAAATTTCTAAAATAACTCTAAAATAAAGTTTAATTTCCATTTGAAGGTTATATAAACATTAAAAACTTATTTAATTTCAAATCAACGATAAAAACAAATTTTAATCAAATGAATGAGCGATTGGATGAAAAATGAAGACTTGGAGTGAGTTTTTTAAACACAAATCATTAGTAATGTATTCGTCGGACAACAGGTGTCTATATTTTGTGCTTAAAAAACTTGTTCAACAAAATCTATAAATTAGTCGTTGCTGTTATATAATATCAATTCTCACAGCATATTGTGAATACAAAATACAGTATATTATAACTTATAAAGTTATTAACAAATATTTAATCAATACAATATTTATTAATAATATTATTGCTTACGCTTTAAATGATTTTTGTTAAAATCTGCACAAATCATTTTTATTGATTAATGTTCACATGCTATGGAATATCTAAAAGTTAGGCTAATATACACTATATTGCTAATAAGTTAATAAGTTAGCCTAATTCATAGCATTGAAATACTAAAGAATTTGAATATTTTAACTATAGTTCTGCTCATTTTTAGATACACTTTACGAAAAGGAAACACACTTTTGTGGATAACGGAAAGTTGACTTTAAACTAAATGAACTATTTAATTTACAAAATTGTAGTTTATGTCAAATTAAACTTATTATTTATGTGTACTTCAGCAAAGTTAATTCTGCTTTGTTAGCATATTATAGTATATTCTAAATTACAATTCAATGGCATTCCTTATGAAACAACTTTTGTGTCAAATTATATACTGTATTACTTTTATTAGAGGATTGGTTAGAGTTTGCATACTTTGTCTAGATATTTTTAAGAAAAATAGAGANAGAGTATGACGTCGTGGCAGGTCTTCAGCTAAATATAATCTCAAACGCAATGAAAGCCACGAATATTATGAGTGAAACAAAATGAGAGAGGAGGGAGGGAGGTTATTATATTATTTAATAAAATAGTTCTAAATTGTTGAATTTAAATATTCAACAATTTGGACAATTGAACAATCTAATTGGATTGCATAAATATTGCATAAATTATGATTGTAATATTACACGGAATATATTCCAAAAATACTAGATTTAGTGATAATCATTGATTTTTAAGTATAAATGATGTCAACGTAACATAGCTATGGGAGATGATCATGGACATTTGACATTACATTAAAGTACGTTAATAATAACAATATTCTATTGAATATGTGACAAATTGCATTTATTTTAACCTTGCTAATCTTGAAATAGGATACATAATATTTTATAGTATAGGTTTTCATTTTCTCATTTTTTCAAACCCCAGTAATAGTTTTGGTAATTTATTAAAAAAGATTATGGTAAATTTTACATTTTAAATATTAACGATGAATTGAATATATATGTAATATAGTGTTACTAAACTCGTTATAATTAGGAAAAATCACAGTTTTAATTGATTTGTTGTGAATGAAATGAATTGATTTGTAAAGTTAACCATTAATTTGATTGAATTTATAAAATCATACAAAACTATTAAATGATAAACAAGTGATAATATAATAGTTATAATAAACGAAACGTTTTATTAAATTCAAGTGCAATAAAAGGCGAGTAAAATGATTGTTATTAAGGCATTGAGCGGTTAAAGTATGGTTAGAGTGCTGTTAGCAGTATTGGTAGTGTTGGCAGTGTTTTGGCTGATTATGATGATCTGCTAAATGTGTAATAAATTCAATTCAAACAAATGATTATCATTGATAAGTAGAGCTTTCAAATTGAATATTGTTTGCTATTAGAGAAGCCGTTATAATAATAATTGACGAGTAATTGACTGATAGTACGGATGGTTTAGGGAATGGAGTGACAGCTGAGGCATAGCTCTCAGACACCGAACCAATACAAGTGCTCATCACTGCTCCGAAAGCTGAATAACTGCTTTCAATTGAAATAATTTGTGTTTTAAGTTCGGGTTATTTTACAAATTAGGGGCTTATCTGTGATATAAGTGATGCTGTATTACAGTTAATACATTCATACATAATAGCAATAATAGTTAGGTTTGCCGTGAATTGTCTCTGCATGGGTGGCTCAATACCTACCGGTGCTATTGTGGCGCTCGGCTATCATTCAGCACCGGTAGCCTCAGCGCCAATATTCAACCCATTATACTATTATACTATTTGAAAAATGTCTCAATTTTCTCTCTCAATAATAATAATCAAAACAAATTTAAATAATATAATCCAATAATTGTCTCCCAATTGAGAGCACGAAAACACTATCATTCCTATGAACACACGTTTCGCCGATTCTCTGCCTAACAGTCCTAACCATTCATACCATACATACATATATTGTACATATTGTGCAATACATTATACATTGTGTGGGCATTCAATGTATGCGAAAAGATTTTGGCACACAATCTATAATAAGACAACCATTGAACCAAAGTTTAAGCCATGATTTAATATTACAATTATTGCCGCCTTAAGGCCGCTATCATTAAGATATGGTTTCATATATTGGTTTAGCGCCTCATCCACTAAATAGGGCTCAGCTCTCAAGTGTTTGCGACCAATACAGCCAATACACGCCCTCCAACCGAGGCGTACCTCAAACCCCGGGATTGCAAACATTTTTTGGTAAAAATTGCAAATTTCTATCTAATAATTGTATGAAACATGAAATCCTTTGTTGAAGTTTTGCTTAAAAATGCAATCAAACCAATAGTAGTGAACAAAGCATTTATAGATTTATGTGAAATAACTTATTATAGAATATATTTTTTACCAAAAATAGAGTGCAATCGAAGAGAAATGCAAAACAACTTTTTACACAATAATATATATAGAAGTATAGAGTAATGAGAAAGTGGTCAGACCTGAAGACCTGCACAGGAATTACATTTGCAATTCCAGGGGGAAAGTTATCAAACATAGACCTGAGCCCAGCATTCATACAACTAAAAGCGGCCCAAAGTCACGATTTTTTGGCAAACGAAATAACTGTCATTAGGACAGCAAACCAGTCATTAAACAGCGCCGTCATCGCAGTCTCTCTCTCTCTCTCTCTCTCTCTCTCTCTC